CAACCAAGTCAAGCCCCTGAGGGCCGGCTGCATTAAGCGAAAGGAAAAACAAGTTAGACCTAGTCAAGAAGGAAGCAAGAGTGAGTTTTTACAAGTGAGGGTCCATACTACTAGGCGGCCCCGCCGGGGTTTTTGAAGAAGTGGCCGGCTGCTTCTCAGCCGCCACCGTTTTCCTGGAAGACCCAGGAGAGCTTGCAACAGTCGTCCTCCGGGCCTTGGGGTCCGGCTGTTGCGAGGAAGAAGCCCTTGGAGTGCCAGACTGAAAACAAAAAGAGTTAGTATATGCATAAGACAACTAAAAGAGGAAGAGTTTTCGAAGCTTACCAAGGGTGCCCCCTTGTTGGGGGAGTCGGCATAAGACTGTTTCATGAGCGAGGCCCGCAACATGGCCGCCGCAGTCTTGGATGCTGTTATTTTACTCATGGCGTCAGCTGCAAGGAATAAACAGCAAAGTTAGTAAAAATCTCAAGTAAACAAGGCTTGAAAAAACAAAGTATTTGACAGGCCGGCTACCTCTAGAGCACCGACTGCTGAGGCCACAGGCGGCCAAAAAGTACTCATCATAGAGCCACTTAAAGCTCGGGACGCAGTTTAGGGGTACTTGCTCTCGTACCCCTGAAGTAGAGTTCACCCTAGTCTCTACTTTGAAGAGTCCTTTGTCTAGGATCTCTTTTTTAGCCTTTGGGGGAACAGGCGGCATGCTGCGACCGCCTGCGAGAAGAGGCGGATCCCTATTCCACTTGTTAAAACGTTGGTTCAGCTCCGTGTCTGAACCCTCAATGATAAGGAAGGTGTTCCGCCAATCCTTCCATTTGTTCGCTTTACCTCTCGTCATGAGGTAACCCCTATGGCTTGTCAACTGATACCAGCCGGTACCTCCCGACTTAGGGGTCCGGCTGAGATAGTTCATGTGGGCGAAAGCCTCAAAGCTTGGCTCCACCCCGTACATTTCGCACCCGGCCACATAGCCGAGTACGTTTACCCAAGAGTTGGGGGCTAACTGCCATAACCCCAAATCATACCCATCTAAAATCCGCTGAACAGCCGGATGTAATGGGAAGCGCAGTCCAGCTTTGATGGCCGCCACATAGCAGCCAAAGCAGCCGTCATCATAACTGGTACCAGCCGGCCAGACGACAGTGTCTTCTGGATCCGGCACAAACAGTAAAAATTCCGGGCCCATTCTGTGGTTGGCAATAAAGCTCGCCACGTTGTCTTGCATGGTTGCGATCCGGCCCCGGGGCACCTTGCAGTAGTAGGGGGCGTTTTCCTCTCTGTAAGAGGCGGACGGCTCCGCCCAATTGTCCCCCTTCTCAACTGCGTGAGAAAGTCTCGCCTCTTGTAGGCGGCTATGTTTTTCTTCTGAGCCTGGAGAACTGTGGCCAGAAGAGCTGGACTCGGACTCGTCCTCTGATGAGTCCGAAGAGGACGACTCCTCCCCTCTCCCAGAGGGGCCCGCCTCCTCTCCCTTAGAAGGGGCAGGAGGAAAATTAGACATGTCGACGGTAAGATGGGAAGGGACCACCTTGGCCCCTCTCTCAGAACTGTCGGCTTGGCAGTCGCCTCGTTTCAATTCTACATCTGGCGCCTGGTCAGATGTTTCACTAAGGAGCACTCTTTGGGAGGAGCCGTCCGATTTTGATATCATAGCAGTCTGTTTCGTTCTGGCCATCACGTTCTGCATAGACACAGATACAGTCGGACTTCGTATAAAGGGCAAAGATGGGTCCAGAAAAGGGCAGGCGGCACTCCTAGTCCTAGATTCAGCCGTCCCCGGTGACCGGCTGATCACTAACTTAGGTCGTGTCGTGTGCTTCCGTGGTGCCATTTCAAAAAAAAAAAAAAAAAAAATAAAAAGAAAAATTAAGAGTAAGAGAACTGAGTTACCTGAACGAGTGACGGTCGATGAAGTTCTGGAAATCCGGGTCAGTCGGCTTGTCAGAACAGGCGGTAGGCAGAAAATGTCCGAAATGTCAGAGCAAGTTCAGGGGTCCGAATGTTCTCGCAAAGTTCTCAAATGTGAAAATGACCGAAGTCAGCACTTCCTTATATAGGCGAAGTGAGAAGGCGAAGGGTCGCTTCCAAATTCAAAATGTGGGCGGGAAAATCTCTCGGCCGTTTGCAAGGTGACACCTGTAGCAGGCCGTCGCCTCTCACCATGCGACACCTGTCACAGGTGACACGTGACCAGTCACGTGCCACCTGTGAGGGGCAAATGATTAGGGGATTTTCATCCTCCAATCACCTTCTGACAAGTGGACCAACCAGGTTCCGCCACGTGTCCTTCACGTAGGCAAATAGGAGCCTGCCACGTGTCAATCACAGATACGTCCTCTGCGGACCAATTGAGACACGCCATGTGTCCACCCATGCCAAATGGGAAAACCGGCCACCAAGGCCCAATCCTGTTTAGAGGCCCGGTCAGCCCTAGGTTTACCCTAAACCTAGAGAGTGGCACGCTTCTCAAGACTATAAATACTCTTCTTAATCCTCATTAAGAAAAGAGAGAATCAGAGAGAGAAAAAGTGACAGAACACTAATCACTCACGGATTATACATTAAACACTCTCACCTAGAGAGACCTTATTACTTTAATTTCCGTAATCATTACTCCTTAATCAGGTACTAACTTGACCGTTGGAGGCGGAGCTCTCAGGAGTCTCCGTTATTTTGCAGGTACAGGCGGCCGGTTCCAGTCTCGGTGTTGTAACTCTCCCGCAGGACATCAGAAAACCCCGAAACACTAAGTACTGAGAATGATGGAAACTGTTATACATGAGGTGCATGTCAAAGAGGAATAACTTAGCTTAGCTTGTTGGGAATTTCATGCGAGAATAAATTGATGATTCATGTTAACCAACCCAAATCATTTTAAAACTAAGGCTTCGTTAGTTGTTATAATTACATGCGAGAATTGGCAACAGCCTCTCAAGTGCATTAAGAGAAAGGCTGCAATCGTAAAAGAAATTATGTGGTTCGTTCTGGTATTCTGGACTAACATAGTAACATATACACTCTAATGTCTTTATTATTGTCTCAAATTTCGTTTGATAATACAAGTAGGTGATACTAGTAAGCAATGTAGTAACTGTAATGAATATGTACATAAATTTGTAAGAGATTGGAGGCATTCCAAACGGAGGGTTGAGAGACATATAGAAGTGTTTCACAGGGGTATGTTGGTCATTTTATATGAGATTTAAATTTTGCCTTTATAGATTCAGTGATACAAAATACACTCCTAGTGGTACAAAATAAAATTTCAATGGTATATCAAAAATGGTTCAAATGTCTCATTAGACTGTTAAATAATACCATTAGAGATTCACTGGTACAAAATACACTCTCAGTGATACACAATATAATTTCAGTGGTACCTACAAAAATACTCAGTGGTACAAAATATGATCTCAATAGTTGTAGTCCAAATTGTTTTTTGTCTTTTTTTTTGCACGTGAAACCTTTTTGATAAAAGGTGAGCCCCCTTTTACCCCTTTTTCACTCTCTCTATCTCTCTCTTCCTTTCTCACTCTACCTATTTGTTATAATTTTTTATGTTGTGAGACAATTTAGTTAACATTAGATTAATACTTCCTCAATCTATTCCAATGATAATGTACATAAATTATTGATGCTTGAAATATCATCTTTAGGTCTATCGATCTCCATTTCTCACAACACCAAGAGTTGCGAAAATGGAATGCCTCATACAGAGGCATAATCACCCATATTTAGTTAAAAGAATAACCAATTCAAGTGCGAAATTTCCTATTATCAGATAATGTGATTGCAATCAAACCCTGCGCAATCTTCAAATACAAAGTACAATACTTCATTCGATATATAGAGGACTACACTACCAAGCAAATTACGATGGTTTGAGAGATTATATTATGTCTAATTGCTACTATACATTATACACTACTAATTCCTAATCAGTGTATGTAACTCCATAAAATTAAATATCGAACAAATTTGGTCATCGAGTATAGCATTAAGTAGTGATTGTAGAGAAGAGGCCTACGATAGGATTTTAAATCTTCGATATGCTTAATATGTGAGAATTTAGTCGTTTGATAATGGTGGTGGCCTTTGTGTTATTCATGTAAACTTGGAATACTCAAAGTTAATTAAGGCCCCGTTTGGTTTAATGTAAAACATTTTCAATGAAAAATTAGTTTTCATGGAAAACATATTTTCAAGGAAAAACACAATTGCAAATTAGTTTTCCTTTGTTTGGTTGCATACAAGAAAAGTCCAAGAAAAATAAAAAATGAGAGTGGAAATGTAAGGATGAATGAGAGGGAAGTAAAAAAAGAGGTAAGGAGGAGAGAGCAAAATGTGGCTTCCCTTGTTTTTGGAAGGAAAATGTTTTCCATCATTTATGATGGAATTTTCCACCCTTGAAAAATTGTTTTCCACTCCTTAACAAACCAAACAAAGGAAAATGGGAAAAAATGGAAAATTCATTTTCCATGAAAACATTTTACATCAAACCAAACAGGGCCTAAATTAAAGTCAATTTTACAAAAATATAATTCATCGCAATTTTAAAAAACACACAAGCATTAAAAAGATTTTACAGCAAGAAATATAGCTTTCGACAAGCAACAAGATTACTCTAGCTGAGAGGCATACCCAAGTAATGATAAACTAAAAACCAGCAAAAGTCATAAATAAGATGAAATTCATCATATATAATTGACACAAATTGTCAAATAAGATTCGAATAAATTCAACATGTAACCCCAACAACATGAATGTCACATGTAAAGAGGATACACAAATATGAGCATTCATAGAATCCAGCATAAATGCAATGCTCCTTGACTACATAAAAATTTCAAACATTAAACAAAGTTGTATGAAAAAAAGTTCAACAAATAAATGATATTTATTACCCCAACAACAGGTCTAGTGCCACCAACACAGAGAGAGTCATCACTCGATAAGGATTCTGGCATGAGGTAAGGACCGCGGAAAGCTCAGCAAGTCACTGATTATTCCAGAGAAATCTTCGCCTTGGCCAGGCCAGAATCTGGTCTCTGCCTATCATCATCATTATTTCCCTTAGATTTAGAGAAGGTCATCGTCTCCAAGCCTTTGGCCTGTTGTAACAAAAACTTTGCAAATTCAGGCACATTTTCATTATAGCCAATAAACTCAACAGTCTTCAGACACTTCGATAGCAGTTTCTTCGATTCCCAGTAGTTATTGGCATCGAAATTCCATATCTCCCCTGGACCTCCTTCATATTCCTGCATAATAAAAACAAGTCCACAATATCACCAACTTTTAATGTCATACAATATAGACTAGACTATCATGTATTTGTACGAGTATTAAATTAAATGTATGGCACTTCCAAAAGAAGAAATACGCGTGTAAATAAAGAACGAAACAATCAGAGAAATTCAATAGTTACCTCATTATCATGATAGCAAGACAAATCTACAACAAGCTTCTCTAAGTTGGGTGAAGATCGCAACAGACTATTAATCCCCGGAAATTCCTCTTCATATAGATCGATATCTAATTTCAAGTGCTTACACTGTAAAAATGGCGGAGGAAATTTCTGTAATTCAAGTGCTGAGAGAGCCTGAAAACATTCAAAAAAAATAAAAAAAAATAAATAAATTAGTATTACATATTGATTCCAATTTTGATCTAATATAAGGTTGGTAGACTAACCTGAATTAGCCATGTTCCAAGTGTAAGATACATGACAGGACGAATTATGTTTAGAAGACCGGTCACCATGTCTTGATAGATACCGTCTACATTAACATTATTATCAATGGCTGTATCAGGATTAATATCATCGTCGTCCAGTGAGAATGAAAGACTGACAGTCAACAAGGCCGATAATAAATTCCTCAAACTTTGCAGCTTAATCCTCATACAACCAGTAAGCTCCAATGAATGAAGATTGGGAGCATTAATCTCTAGGCATGAATTCGAATCAGGTTCATTTCCATAACAACCTATTACGAGTCTTGTCAGAGTAGTTGAGTCGATATGGTTAAACCCTCCACAATTTCTTAATAACAGCGATTCCAGATGTGGACTGCCGCAAAGAATCATTTGAATCGTTTGATTATCGATAAAAGCATTTTCAATAGAAAGATCTTGGAGTGATCTCCAATTGACGGCAACCATAGGAGAGACCTGGCAACAAGTGAAGCTCAGTTTTTTGACCGATTCACAATAGTAAATTTCTGGCGTGAGCCAGTATGCAAGAGGAGGCTCAGAACAAAAATCCAAATCCAAGCAAAGCTCCTCGACACGCTTACGCACCAATTGACGGAGACAGAAGTTGATTGCTGGAGACATAAATGCATCAAAATATGATCTCAAGACAAACTTATGGATTGTACTAGACCTGTTGAGCATCATTGTTGATGTTATAAACTCGCTAAACATATCCAGAGTGTCATTGAACTCCTCGAACAGGAATTCAATTTTGGTGGTGGAGGCCCAAGACCATCGCCACCTCTCTGACAGTATGCTTGTTTTTATAGCATCCATCATTGGCATATATGATAGTATGTCTTCAACTAATGCATCTGGTAGTTCACTAATACGATCTTTTCCTTCGACTTTCTCCTTTCCCTTCGAGCACTCTCCCTCCATTTCCTCATCTTCCTCCTCCTCTCTGCTTTCTACTTTCTCCTTTCCCTTCGCGCACTCTTCCTCCTCCTCCTCTTCCTCCATCTCGCTGCTTTCTACCTCCATATCCTCGCTTCCTTCTTCCTCCAAATCCTCGCTTCCTTCTAACTCCCAATCCTCGCTTTCTCCAGCATTTTCCCAGTCGCTCATAGTCATATCACTGTCTGAATTCATGATCAAATAGAGTAGTGTTCGCCTTATGATAAAGATATTCAACAAGATAAAATAATTTAGTTAGTCAAATCAGTTAATACAATCAACTATATCAACGGCTAATAGCTAATTACCAAACATGGCCAAAATCAGTTATATTATAATCAAGCGTAGTTTATGCAACTAGAGGTGATCTATCTATATATAACAACGATTAACATAGAATATAAATAAATTCATCGAGGATTCGAGGTTGATTATCTTATATCAAAAAAAAAAAAAAAATAACGAAACTCAGCAATTAACATATATATGCTTCTTTTTCTTTTTCTTTTTCTATTTTATACATCAATGTTTAGTTAACATCTAATATAATTTATGAGGCCATTGAATTACGTTAATAATGATATTCATTTATTTATTTGTCGCAATTATAGCAATCAAAACCACATCCTTGTATAAATTGCTTTTGTCAATTATAACAAACTGGAATACTTATGAGATTATGTATAATTAACGTTGTTCAACTATGTAAAATTAAAATTAATCTAACATCAACCATGACAAAGACAAGTACTTTGTTTTTATTTTTATAGCAAAATCAATTCATTAACACAAAAATGAATACTTTATTAGTTCAACTATACTAAAAAAAAATGGTGACGTAAACCACACACAAACAAACAACTAGTAGATAACTCGAAACAAATGAGAGAAGTCATACCTTACAATTCACAAATGAAATTACCCTAGATCAAAATTAAAAAAAAAATCAATTAATAAACTACATTTAAATAACTCGACTGAAAATTGATCTAGAGAACAAATAAGTAGCCATAACCAAAAATTGCAGTAAACCCCTAATTTATATACGCCATACAGATAACAAAGAATATAAGCAAATTCATCGAAGATTCGAGGTTGATTATCTTATATATAAAAAAAAAAAAAAAGCTCGAATACTCCGTATATGCTTTATTTTTTTTTTTTCAATTCTCTTTTTTAATACTCCGTATATACATATTAATGTTTTATTAAAATTAAAATCTAATATAATTTATGAGGCCATTGAATTTCATTATTGATATTCATTTATTCGAATACTCCTTATATGCTTTTTTTTTTATTTCTCTTTTTTAATACGGAATACTCCGTATATAAATATTAATGTTTTATTAAAATCTAATATAATTTATGAGGCCATTGAATTTCATTATTGATATTCATTTATTTGTCACAATTATAGCAATCAAAACCACATCCTTATATAACTTGATTTTATCCAAACAAATCAAGCACACTTGAACACTTACCAAATCATGTATAATTAAAGTCGTTCAATTCTGTAGAATTACAATTCATCTAACATCGGCCATGACAAAGATGACTACTTTATTTTTATAGCAAAATCAATTCATTAATTAATACCAAAACGAAAACTTTATTCATCTATACTTGAATAAAAATGGTGAGACAAATCACAGCTACAGACTACAGATCAATTGACATATTTTATCAAAACCACAAATAAACAACTAGCAGATAACTTGAAATGACGAATGAGTCAACGAGAGAAGTCATACCTTACAATCAACAAATGAAATTACCCTGCTTGATCAAGATATAAAAAAAAAAAGTTAATAAATAAATCAATAAATTACATCTACATGACTCGATTAAAAATTGACACCTATAGATCAGATAAGAAACCATAACCAAAAATTGCAGTAAAACCCTAATTTTTATAAGCCGTACACATCAACACATGCACGTCATTTTTTAGGGTTTCAGTTTTTTTTACAAAAATTACATCAAAATCGAATTAATCAAACAACAAAGATTGGAATTCTCAAAATTCATTTAATTATGTTGTTTACCGTTGATCCATAAATTAAAATGAGGTAAAATTGACAAAATTCAATGAAATTTGACAATATATTAAAAAGCCCCTAAATTTCCGCACTTATATTAAACAGTGGAAATAAAAAAGATTGAATCTTGAATAAATAAAGGAAGTCAACATCAGAAATTATAGAATAAACAAAAAGAAATGGAGTGAAATTACCGTTAAGAGAGGTGATCAATTGACAATTGAGAGTGCTTTACTGGTTGTCGCTTCTCTCTCTTGTCTGCTTGTAAGAATGAGATGAAATGTAAAAACCTAATAGACAGCCACATGTAATAAAATGACCTTATATACCAAGTTGCTAGGGTTCACACTTGGGTCATGAGGTGTCAAAAACCGACCCGGATTAGGCTAATCCAAAGTGACCCAATTCAATTTTTGACATGTATGGGCACAATGGTTTATAAGCAATGCACACAATGTGTGCTATAGGTTAAGGAATTATTTATTTTAACTATTTTTTTCGATTTTGTCACTTATATTTACTTCGTTGATAGAATAGAAAGGTTAAGATAAAATAATATATGAAAATAAATATATTAATTTGTAAATACGAAAGGATAAAGGTAGATCGTTGAGTTCGACTAACTGTATTTCTTCGTTGATATATGAGCGTCAACACTAATGCAAAGTGTAAGACAATACTCCGTATCAGTTTTACTAATATATAATCAGTATCAATTATATATGTAGTAATTGATTGATGGTATAGACATAAAATAAATTATATAATTATTTATTTCTGGATTTATTTCAAGTAATTGATTTTTATTTTATGAAATTTTTTGTCTATTGATCTTTCCGGTGGCGATTACACATTTTAACGACTAAAATACACTTGCATATCCAATTATCCCATGTAGTGGCTTTGTATGAATTGAACCCTTTTCTCTTAATTACTAACATTTTGTTCTTTTGTGATTATCTCATTTCTAACATTTCATTTGAATAGAAGAAATGTTTAAAGAAAATGTATTCTTGTGAGATTTGTAAATTTTATCTGGATATGTTGGTTTAAAAATATTATGTTTCAAAAATATTGATACATAATTAAATATGTTCCTGAAAATGACTTAGATTAAAAATGATCATTAAAGGAAAAATGAAATAATCATTACAGAATGGAGGGCGAATCTAGTTAGGTTAATTAGATCTCCAGGTGTTGAGCTTAGCAGTGCGCGAGACATAATTAATGTTGTAAAAGTTTAATTAGGTATGTCGAATTCATAAGGAAAACACTTAACGACGAAAATACCATTATTGAAATGGTTAATAAATTCTTTTCCAAAAATATTAACATAGACAAAATCACTTTTTAAATTGATTTTAAGAAACTTTTAATTGAAATTTTTAGCTTAGAATCTTATATATAGACTTATAGTGATACAATTTCACACAAGACTTAAACACGCAAATATAACACTAATTTGAGTAGGCTCAAATTAGGTCACGCGATTCATGATTAACTATCGTTGCAATTAACTTGTTTTTGTAGCTATATTTGCTAAAGGAACAAACACTTATACTAATAATTATTCCACTGGTTGGGCTAGATTATAGACACCATATTGTTAGGTGTTTATATTATTCCACTGGAGCTATCGATTACATACTATAGTAAGTTTTTGCTGCAATGTCACACACTGCCATTTTAGCATATTCCACTACAAGAAATATGTTAAATTGCGACCGTTTTTTTTTACGACCGTTAATGAAATGGTCGCAAAGTATGAAATATGCGACCGATTTTATGCAGTCATAATATTACGACCGTTTTTTGAGCGGGCGCAGATTTGCGACCGTTTTTGGGCTATCAAACAGTCACAAAGGTATTTTAATATATATATTTTTTTAATATTATACTTGTCTAAAATAAATTGAAATAAAATTAATCCTATTGCGACCACTTTTAGCGGTCGTAAATTGTACAACTTGCGACCGGCAGTAGAAACGTAACGGTCGTGGTTTTGCGATCGCGTAAAGCCGTCACAGTTTGCATGGATTTATTAATTGAAAAAATTCGGGTATAAAAGAGGGAGCCTAAGTGCCCAACTCACCTAAACCCTATTTTCTCACGCTGCTCCTCTTTCCTTTCTCTCTCCTCCTTACTTCCTCCATCTTTCTCTCTCCTCCTTTCTCAGTTCTCATGCCGCTCTTCTTACTTCCTCCTCCTTTCTCTTTCCTTTCTCAAACTCCAATTTCACTTTTTCTCTTAGCTTTCATTTCTCAACGCCTCTCCTCCCTTTGTTCTATGAAGGCCGAGCTCGGCGCTCACCTTCACGCTTCTTTTCTCCTTATTTTCCTCCCTCTTCGGCTTTTGGTCTAAGGGCTTGAGCAATAAGTGAATGTGGTGTTCATGGTCAAATTCGACCATAAAAATTCCAGATCTGGAGTTTTTATGGTCAAATTTGACCATATAAACACAAAGAGGAAGAATTACAAGGAAAGGTATGTTGAGTTTTCTGTACATTTTGTTTGTTTTTTCTTTATTTTTGATTTTTCTGGTTTTATTTTGCTTTTTTGTTCGAATATTTATGTTTATATTTATAAAAAATTTTGATTTTTTTTGTTCGAATTTTGTCGATGTTGTGTTCGAATTTTGTTGATTTTTTTGTTTTAATTTTCTTGATTTTGTATTCTAATTTCAAGATCTTTTGTTTGAATTTTCTTGCGCTATGCTTTTTGTTCGAATTTTATATTCATGATTTTGTATATTTTGGATTTCATTGATAGTTGTGGGTTGTTACGGGTCTAGGGCTGTTTTAGGTGGGCGGGTGGGGGTGGGTATTAGTTTTTTAGAATTATTTGGGTCGGCGGTGGAGGTGGATATAGAGGGCAGTGGTGATGGTGGTTTGTGGTGGGAAGTGAATGTGGGGCTGGGCTAGCAGGGAAGACAGGTGCATTTGTTTTATTTATTTATTTTTTAAACGTTAGGCTGGTAGTGGTGGGTAGAGTTTTTTTAGGGTGAAAGGGCGGTGGGGTAGAGGTGGGTTTCTAGTGGGAAGTGGTTGTGGGCATGGTTGGGCGGTACAGGCAGTGAGGTGCATTAATTTTTTTTTTTAATACTTTAGCAATCGCTTTAGACCGTCGCACTTTATCAGATTTGCGACCGATC